TCTGTAATATAGTAAAGTTAACTTATATATAATGTTTTTACTTTTGTAAGTTTACCTGATAGATATTTATTTTTTATTTTGAAATTATTGTTTTGGCAACATTAACATTTTTTTAAATAACAAATAAAAAAATTATGTATCATGATATGATTGGTTATTTTAAATTCTATGTGAAAGTTTTCATTGACTTATAACCTCAATGTTATATAGTATAGAATATATATATATATATATCTATTCATTTTTTAGGAAATAGCAAAACTAAGATAATTATTTGACTAATTATTTTTGGTAATTATTTTATGTTATTTTATATATTAAGTTAACTTATATATGATGTTTTATTTTTGAAAGTTTTCCATATTTGATATTGATTTATATTTTATTTTGAAATTAATATTTTTTTAATATTGAATTTTACAGAAATAGTAAAGTTAAGATAATTTTTTTATTTTAATTAATTTCGAAAATCTATAAATGTTAAAATTAACTTATATATAATGTTTTACTTTTTTTTTAAGTTTCCCTTATACATATTTATTATTATTACTATTTTTAGTAACATTAATATTTTTAAAAATAACAAATCAAAAAACTTATGTATCATGATATGATCGGAAGACTTAAATCATATGTGACCGTTACAGTTATATTGAATTTTTCAGAAATATAAAAATTAAGATAACTTGTTATTTTAATGTTCAAATAAAATTATATATAATGTTTTAATTTTTTAAGTTTCCCTTATACATATTTTTTTAGAAACATTAGAATTTTTAAAAATAACAAATCAAAAAACTTTTGTGTCAGGATATGATTCGAGGATTTAAATTCTATGTAGACGTCTTCATAGCTTATAGCCTTAACTTTTATATAGTATAGATAATATCTAAATAAATTTATTAATACATTTTGATCAATAAGTAATAACTCGAAACTCATTAGCAAACCAGCCTTATAGATGTTACATGCTTCCCAAAAGTGAATCATTCTAGCAAGAACTTCATTCTTATTAAAACCTTTTCTAAGATCATCGAAAACCAAAGAAGAAGTCAAAGCAACCATTGTATCAATATATCTTTTCTCTTTCCAATATCTCTCTGTTTCTCAACATATATTTTGAAACTTTTAGAACTTTAACAGTTATTTATAGTCACCTAATACTTCATATATTATAAAATTTCTTATTTTATTTCATGTTAATATACAGACATTTGGAAATCCTAACATTAAAATTTGGAAATCTTGACATTTTAAAAATTAATAATTTATATTAATAACCTGCTTTATTCTATTTTATGTTAATATACAGAACTTTGGAAATCCAGACATTTAAATTTAGAAATCTTGACAATTTAGAAACTAATAATTTATATTAATAATTTGCTTTATTCCATGTTATGTTAATATAGAGAAATTTGGAAATCCTAACATATAAATTTGTAAATCTTAACATTTTAAACTAATAATTTATATTAATAACCTAATTTATTAGTTAATATTTTTTTTCATTAAACTAATTTGGAAACAGTGATATTTAAAAAAAAATTAATTTTATTTTTGTAAGATGATTTTTGTTACTTTACTATTTTAAAATTAGATTATTATTTTATTTTTGTATAAAATATAATTTTTATTTAGTATCTATAAAAGACAATAATGTTTTGTCAATTTTTTTTTTGTTTTTGATTTTCTATTTTTTGTATAACAGTTAACATTTTTAAGTAAGTTTTAAAATTTTAATATTTATTTTTTTTATTTAAATTATATATGGAATATTAATTTCGTTTTTAATATAATTTGGAAACATTGCATTTTCTAAAAATGATACTTTACATTTAGTACATCTAAAAAGACAATAATGTTTTGTTAATATTACGTTTTTATTTCGATATTTTCCATTTTTATAACAGTTAACATTTTTAAGTAATTTGTAAAATGTTAATATTTATTTTGTTAGTTAAGTTATATATGGAATATTAATTTATTTTTTAATTAAATTTGTAAACATTGATATTTTATAAAAATAATAAACTATTATAATGATGTGTCATTATACGATTGGAGGACTTAAATCCTATGTGGACGTCCTCAATGGCTTATAGCCTCAACTTTTATATAGTATAGATTCGTGTCTATCAGAAATCTTCCATTTATCTCGATCTCCATATTTATCCTTGGAAAACTTCTATTTTCTCCAAACTTGACATTTATCTTCTTCCTGCAAATAAACGGATAAAACGTCATCATATCTTTGGGATGGACTCCGTCTAAACTTGACATTTATCTTCTTCCTCGCGTTTTAGGACCTTTCGGCTGTTTTGCACCTTAGCCTTCTTACGATTTTAGACGGGATTGTTCCATGATACAATGCCATTTTTATAAAACATCTTGAGTCAATCATATAGTTTAGTAATCTCTGGTGTTTTGTTTACCCGTTGCCGTTTTATACGATTTACTTGAGTCTTTACGAGAAAACAAGTCTTTAGCACTATTTATCGTAAAGTTCCAACGATAAGATGGATCGAGACGAAACGAGAGATGTTCCTAGCATGATTCAGAGACGATCGAGTCGAGGGGCATATTCCTTGTGTCTGGGCAGTGCTAGTGGTGAGGTTTGGTTCGGCCGGTGCCGGGCCGAACGACTTGGTCAGCTTGCATGTTGGGCGAGCTGGATGGTACAGTCTAGCTCGCCAAGACGGTGATCTGGTGAGCTCGGCCAGCTCGCCGGCTTGGCGAGCTGGATGACATGGTCCAGCTCAACAAGACGCGAGCTGGTTTGGCATGGCCAGCTCGCCGGCTTGGCGAGCTGGATGGTACGGTCCAGCTCGCCAAGACGGCAAGCTGGTTTGACTCGGCCAGCTCACCGGCTTGGCGAGCTGGATGGTACGGTCCATCTCGCCAAGACGATGAGCTGGTTTGGCACGGCAGCTCGCCGGCTTGGCGAGCTGGATGGTACGGTCCAGCTCGCCAAGACGGTGAGATGGTTGAGCTCGGCCAGCTTGCCGGCTTGGCGAGCTTGATGGCACGGTCCAGCTCGCCAAGACAGTGAGCTGGTTTGGCACGGCCAGCTCGCCGGCTTGGCGAGCTGGTTTGGCACGGCCAGCTCGCCGGCTTGGCGAGCTGGTTTGGACATTGCGTTATTGGCTAGTCGAACAATCGTGGAATTGTTTATTTGATTTGCCGGTGATTTCCATGATGGAAATTGTTAAGTTTACGGAGATATTTTGTTCGGAGAATCTTTATAATTCTCCGCACACGTTCTCGCACCTTTCTAGACCTATTTTGAACTTTGCGGAAAGTTTTGGTCGTTGATTCCGTCGTAACCGATTTTGACCCCAACATCATATATTATATATTTGCATATTTATATGTATAGTTACTTTTAATGTACTATATAAATTTTTAAATAGTGTATTTAATTGTTATTTATTTTTAAATAGTGTATTTAATTGTTATTTATTTTGACCCCAACATCATATATTATATATTTGCATATTTATATGTATGGTTACTTTTAATGTACTTTAAATAGTGTATTTAATTGTATTCTTATTTTTACCTTATAAAATAACAATATTTTACATTTAAACTAGTTTTTAATATTTAATATACCTTTTACACTTTTAAGAAATTGTGTATAACTTATTATTATTATTATTATTTTATAATAAATTTATTTAATATCTATATATACATATTTAAATGTATATTTATTTTTAATGTACTATTTCCATGTTTAAATTATATGTTTACTTATTATTTTTTTTATACTGTGTATTTCCATTTGTTATACTTCATTATACTTAATATCTATATTTACATTTTAAGATAGATGTTTTATAATTAATGTACTTTTTTATTTTTAATTGTGTATTTGCTTATTTTTATTTTTTTGTATAATATATATTTATTTAATATCTATATTTTATATTTTAAAATAGATGTTGAATGATTAATGCACTTTTCCATTTTTAAATTGTGTATTTTATTATTAATATTATTTTTTGTATATTCTATATTTACTTAATAATATCTATATTTTGCAATTAAGATAGATGCTTAATGCTTAGTGCACTTTTCCATTTTTTAAATTGTGTATTTTCTTATTGTTATATATATAATTATTATATTATATATTAAAATGTAAAACTATATATTATATCATCATTTCAAAAATGTAAAATTAAAAATCATAAGGTAATAATTTTATCAATATTTTTGGATTATTTTGTAAAAATGTAAAATGGTGATCTTACATATGTTTAATGTATCCATTTCTAATGTTTTTATATTTACATATTTTTTATTTTTGAAATTATATATACCATGGTAATCTTACATATGTTTAATGTAGTATTTTCATTTACAATGTGGTATATTTACATATTAGTTTTTATTTTCGAAATTATATTTATCACTAATATTAAAATGTAAAACTATATATTATATCAATATTTCCAGAATGTAAAGTTAAACATAATAAGATAATAATATTAATGATGTCACGTGACATTTTTCGTAACTGAGTTTTTACGCTGATGTAGACCCTTTCTGAAGCCGCAAAAGACTCCATTTATTAGTATAGATTAGTTATATAGGTTAAATGGTTAAATATATTAACTCTAATATTATTAATATATTTACTTAATCTAATTAAAAAGCACTTCGGTTTTTCGGTTTGGTTTGGTTTAAAACCAAACCAAACCAAACCATTCGGGTTAATAAAATCTTGAGCCAAATAGTTTAGACATATACTTTGGTTCGGTTTAGATCGGTTTAAGTTCGGTTGGGTCGGTTAGGTTTGGGTTTTTTGTCCACACCAAGACCCAACTAATGATTCAATTCTATTGGGTTTAATTGAAATTTTTCAGTATGGTTGTTATTTATTTTTAGAGGTGAGGTATCTCGCAATATAAAGAAAGATAACTGCCTCCGCTTACGTTTCATCTTCACGTCATCAGGGAATCACTTTGATTTCCATGAAACAATCTCATCAGCACAAACGACAAGGTCAGATAAATACTTTTCTTCTTTAAAGTAGTAAGATAGCATACACAACTCACATATAAATCTGGTACCCATGCAACCGAATGAAATAGCAAACGAGAAAATATCAAATTCTCAAATACATAACTCTCAGAATTGATTAAGAAGAGAGGAGGTCCAAAACACAAATAAAGCATATATAAGCAAATGGGGTGGCACATGGTCGACGCTCTCGGAGGATGAGCCAGCCCCGGTGGAAGGAATGGTCTTGGAACCACCTCCGGCTCCTGCACACGAATCAGAAATTCCCGTTAAGAGAGAATACATATATTCTTAGTTACTAAAGAAGTTTGTACCTGAACGAGCACCTGGTGATGAGGTTGGGATTAGTGCCACACCGGGGTTCTTGTCCGCCGGGGGCTCCACCGGTGAGAGTGCGGGAGGAGGTGTTGTCGGCCCATTGGCCGCTAATTCATTAAAACTTTGTTGTGAGTGACACTATATCTTAACACAATATCGTGTAACACAGATATATAATAAGGTTTTAGCACTTAAGCTACCGTTGCATTGTGAGAGAGGAGGCGCCTGAATGTTGCAGGCATTTGGGAGCTGCAAGGCCTGTGTGCGGTTAATGTTAAGGCCGATGTTAGGGATCGGACTGTTGACGGCAGAGCAGATGCACCGCGGCGAAGATTTGATGACAGAGTCGAGCTGAGAGCAGCAAGTCTGTGAGGGATTTGTTGAGTTTCTGGTGATATAACTGAGGCACGGAGAAAGGGTGGTCAGTGTGCTCACGCATGGCCCGCTCGGCTGTGCTTTTGATACGCCAAGTAGAGCTCCCACGAGGGCTACGAATGTGATCGTGTAGAAGATACTTGTATACCCCATTGTTTGAGCTATTATTGCTCTTCGCTTTGGTTTAAGTAGAGGACGAATTGATCAGAAAATGTCAAAGAAACTGGTATTGTCGGGTGACCTACTTTACATTGCTTATGTTTTTTTCATAACCAATATGTTCTAGATATACCAAGTACCAAATTTATGATCGGGATTAAAGATTGGTAATACCTAAGGATCAAAACTAATAGGAGCATACCAAACTCACCTACTAGCTCTTGGTTAATTAAAATATATTTTGTTTAAAAGATATTGTGTGTTTGTTTTTAAAAAAAAGAAGAGAAAATTGTGTGTTGATAAAGAGATTGAGAGATTGAGACAGATGGTTATATATTAGCTGGAAGTTGTTGAACTCCATGCACCCACTTAAATTTGTATATATATATATAGGATTGTGAGCCATCTTCACCTGAGAATTAACCAAACGAAAAATGGAAGGCATAACATTGATAGTGGTGATGATGTCAAGCTTAATGTTAGGAGGGAAAGGTCAGCAGATAATTAGCACCCCATGCACCTCCTCCATGATCTCTACCTTCACTCCATGTCTCAACTTCATAACCGGGAGCAGCGGCGGATCCGTCACTCCCACCGCCGGCTGCTGCGACTCCTTAAAGTCGTTGACCAGCACCGGAATGAACTGTGCTTGCCTCATCCTCACCGCTAATGTCCCGCTGCCTACTGGCTTCATCAATCGGACTCTCTCGCTTACTCTCCCTCGTGCCTGCAAAATGAGCGGTGTGCCTGTTCAGTGTCAAGGTTTAAACATTAACTTATCATTATTACATTTTTTTTTTAAGAAAATTAACTTATCATCTATTAACCCAATCATTAATGGCTCATTTTGCTTAATTTGCAGCGGCGGGGACCCCTCTGCCAGCACCAGGTTTTTTTTGTTTTTGTTCTTATTTTTAAATTTTATGAAAACAACTCATCTTATCTATTAAAATAGAAGTTATAACTTCATTCATATGTGATATTTTAAAAATGACAATCTTTTCTAAATTTTATAAAATTTGTTTTATTAAAACTAACAAAATAAAATTATTATAAATTCTTTAATTAATTATAATATCTTTTGATATCTTTTACATATATTTTCCAAAAGTATCTACCAAACCTGTTAAAAAATATTATAACAAGATCTTAATTTTAAACAATACATATATATATATATCTAATATTAAATTTTTTCATAATTTCTAAAGTCATATTATTATACATTAATATATATTCTGTTATAGATTATAAAATAAATTTATTTTATAATCATACTATATTAGAATAAAATAAAATATTAATGAAACTAAATATGATCAAATTATTTTCAATTGATGAGTTAATATATTTTATTTTGATAAATATAAAACATTTATGTTAAAATATATAATTTGTTGGCAAAACAGATTAACATTAATAAACTATATAATACATGTATAAAATAATTAATTTATCTTAAAATTTATATATAAGTAATATATTACCTAAAATAAAAAAAATAAAAAAGTAAAAGATAATCTCGCACTTTGAAGTTTAGATGACAATTTATCATAAGTTAAATAAAAATAATTCAATTATATTGTTCATACCTATATTAATTAATTTAATAATCAATCACAAATTCAAGAAGACAAATATATAATAAGGTAGCCACAAATAATACGACGATTTAAAACAATTGATTAAATGTTAATATGTAACTAAAAATTATTATATTTAAAATAGTGATATATATATATATAGTTAACACTAAAAATATATATCACTTATTATATAAAAAATATTTATGTTTTAAAAGTAAAACAGACATCAGTGTGGATGCGTGGATCGAGATCTAGTTATTATTAAATTGTCAATTTATTTTCAGCCATTATCTATTTAACTAATGTGCTGGGCAGGTCCAATACCATTTTTGCTGGCTTCACCACCGCCTATGTCTGCTTTTAGCCCCGGATGTGAGTAATTAATTAATGACGTTATATTTTGCATTTTGAGTCAAAGTTTGGGTTTGATTTTGGACAACTTGATTAGCATCTAAGGCGGCGGCGACTGCACCTGGCCCGAGACCGGGTGCTCCCTTGGATGGGCCGATAGACCCCGCAACCACACCAGGAATTTGGCCCGTGGTTCAACCCTTGCAACCCACCAGCGTCGCTCAATATTGTACTTCTTCTTTTCTTCCCTTGTTTTTCTTTATCTTCACTCTTCTCACTTTGTTGTATTTGTAAGCTATACAACACTTCTTCATATTCAAAATTGTTACCTTTATCTATGTATTGCTTGGTGGTTTCATATATATATATATATATATATATATATATATATATATATATATATATATATATATTCATAGTTACATTTATGATTTTCTCGCTATTTCATCTCAAAATATATGTTGTCCTCTCTTTCTATTCGTCAATAACATAAACAAATATTGACGTCTTTTAGCGCGAAAAATCGAAACACCATTTTTTTGGATAAAATGTAAATTATATTATCAAAGTTTGAATACATCCGTGAACCAATTGCTTCTACGGCCAGAAAAAAAAAACTGTCAAAAGCCTAATTAGCACAAAGAGAGCACAGCTATAGTATGGTTTAAAGATACCTTAACCATTCATTATTTAGTTTTTGTAATGATCTTAAATATATTTCGATTGGAAAGCGCTTAACTCTGCATGAAAACGACATTGAGATATTTCTATGTCTATGTAAGTATATGAAGACGAACATATCTGACCAGTGAGATGATTGTCTGTATTTGAAATAATAACATTTTGTTTGAACCGAGTTCGAGCCCTGTGGGAACCGAAATTCACTTACTGTCGATTTCCGTAAATTAGGGAAGTTTGAGTAAACCTTAAGTTCCCAGAGGACCCGGCTATCTGCGGAACCGCACAACAAGAATTAAGAAAACGATGAATTTAAAATTAAAGTAAGAACGAACGAGATTGAGAGCAAGAAGGATTTTATTCCGAATCTGCGTAAGAACGATTACAACGAGAGTGGCCTTAGCTGCATGAGCCGTCGGCGAAATCCCTAACTCTAGTAGTCTAAGACCGAAAACCCTAGTTGAAACGCAACTCGATAACAAAAACGGAAATATTCCAAAATGCTAAGTTTGGTGGTGAAAGCTCTGAAAAAACGTGTCCTGCTTCTGCCCTATGCCTCTTGCTTATTTACTCCCTTCCTTGGCGGTTTGGTCCTTCCATTTTGCCCAGATTCGAGTTTATCGGGAATCTTCCATTTATCTCGATCTTTCCTTTTTTTTCGCAGAAAACTTCTATTTAATTTCAAACTTGCCATTTACTTTCAAACTTGACATTTATCTTTCTTCTGCGGGTAAATCGTCAAAATATTATCTTATCTTCGGGTTAGATTTCGTTAAGATCGCGAGATGGCATTTTATCACGTTTTAAGACCTTCCGAGCCGTTTTTCGATAAATCTGTTATGCGACTTTATACGAGATCGTTTCCTGATCCGATGCCGTTTTTAGTAAATTCCCCGAGTTTAATCGTTTCCTTTTTTACGATTCACTCGACGTTTTTCTTAAAAACTCGTTTTTTACGATTTTTACGAAAAATCTCGAATAAATCGTATAGTTTAGGCAATGTTCGGTGTTTCGTTTAACCGTTGCCATTTTATACGATTTCCTCAAGTTCTTTTCGAGAAAACAAAGTTTTACGGTTTTTATCATAAAACTCGAACGATAGGACGGATCGAGACGAAACATGAGACATTTCAACCATGGTTCGGAACATGATCGTGTCGAAGGACGTAAGGCTTGAATCGGGGATGTGGGAGATCGAGGCTCGGGATGGTCGGCTCGACGTACGGCGAGCCGAGCCGGAGCGGTTCAGCTCGCCGTTCGGCGAGCTACCCGGGAAGCTTCTAGCTCGCCGAACGGCGAGCTAGTCGTGACGGGACTAGCTCGCGTTTTACGGCGGTTTCGGTTTTTCGCAGTTTTGTGCTTAACTCGAACGATCGTTTAATCGACGTTTGTTTCGTTCTTCCGAGATAACGATCTTCCGAGTTTTCCGCGGATTTTCTTTGTTCGGAAATCTCTTTTGCATTTATAAAACGATTTCTTAAGTTTTATAAAACAATTTCTCGAGTTTTATAAAACAATTTCTCGATTTTTATAAAACGATTTCTTGAGTTTTATAAAACGATTTCTCGTATAAAACGATTTCTCGAGTTTAATAAAACGTATTTTTTTATCTTTTTGCGGGAAGTTTTGGCTTTTGATCTCGTCGTACCGATTTTGACCCCAACAGTTAGCCCCCTAGCTCGTAAGAATCGTGGAGTCCTTGCGAGCGGATTGAACTTGTTTGGCAAGTTTGGTAGAATTAGGCGGAACTTGAATAGCCAAAATTCCAAAGGTGAATAGTAAACTTTTTCCTATAAGTATATGGAGTGAGTTCTCAAGTTCTTCACTCATTTTTCCCATAACTTGTCTAAGCTTCAAGAAGTTTTCTATCTATTTCTTCCTTTGGATCTTCTCTTTCTCTTTTGATTGTTTAACATGTCTTCCGAATGGAAAGCTTCGGACCACGCTCATGCATCAATTTTTGACCCAAGCGACCTTGAGATCTCCGGCGGCTGTGCCCTTCCCAGGCCAATCTTTCGACGCTTTTCCACGACTGAGGAAGAATTTTTTGAATGCTGGTTAGCCTTGGACGCCGCCGAAGTTCCGCCTTCGAATTCCTGGGTTCCGAAGAAGGATAAGCTTCGGAAGAAAATGGTTGGTCCGAGCGTGAGTACTATTGGTTCTCTCAGGGATTTAAGGAATTCCCGTGCGATCCCTGAATCGGTTCAGTTTTTCCTTCCCGTTCAAGGCCAAGATGCCGAGAATCCGCCTCCGGGTTATTTTACGTGCTTCGAAGCCTTTCTGCTGAACTTTCAGTTATGGTTCCCTATTCCTCGAGCCATTGTCGAGTTCTTGGATAGGTTTGGCGTACCGTTCAGCCAGGAACGTCCTAGTGGGTTGCAGCAACTTGTTGGGATCTTGGTGCTAGGCTACGAGCGCGGAATGTCCCTTGACGCGGAATATCTTTTTGCTATGTTGACATTCAAGCGCATAAGAGGGGGCGGCTTTTACCTAACCTCTCGGCGAGAAATGAAGGTTATCAGCGGGCTCGCCTCGAACGAATATGATTGGACTGATCGGTTCTTCTATGTTAAAATTGATAGCGCGTCGGGGGAGGAAAGTTGTATTTCTTTGTTCAGGATCGTGCGGGCGACAACTGGTATTTTATTGGCGTGATCTACATATCTGTATATATATATATAGATTTTAACCTTTTCGTGCGTTTTGCAGTGTCTATCCCCTTCAGGCCGCTGCTTGACGATTTCCCGGAGGTCATGAATCTTCTTCGTGGCGGCCCACTTCATTGGGGATATTTTTCTCCGAAAAGGGTCCGTCGCGCCGTTGCCTATTATTCATCCGGTTTTTCTCGGGACGGTCATACTGAGGTCGAGGCGGATGACGGTGCGGAGGAGAGGGAAAGGTCCAGATCTCCGCAGGAGAGAGAAGTTCCGATCGGTCACGGTCGAGCGTTCGATGATGATGTTAATATCAAAGATCTTATTGACTTTTCGGCCTCTGAATTTGATCTGGCCGAGATATCATCTCGAGCACCGGCCGACACACCGTTTGCAAAGGCGTCGAGGCTTTTAAACAAGGTCTATTTGTTTTGCTTTATCTTGGTATTATACGCGGTCGCCTCTTTTATTATTATATTTTTTTTATAAAGTAGGATTTTCCACGTTTTGCAGGGTCTCCTCTTCAAGAACGAAGCGCTGAGTGCGAGTAGTGCGGAACTTCGCAAGGCCGAATCTAGGGCTGCAGCGGCGGAGACGGAGGCTGCTCGTCTCAAAGAAGAGATCGGTGCCAGTTTCTCTCGTGCCCAAGACTTAGCCGCAAGGGAGGCCGCTCGTGTGAGGGAGGAGTATGAAGCTGAATCTCGTCGAAGCTCAGAGCTTTCTGACACGATGGTTCGTCATGCTCGTAGAGCGGGCAAAAGAGAGGTTGATGCGGGGTTGGTGACTCGCCGCTAGAGGTTCATGCCTCTTTATGCGGAGTTTGAGGATGCGGAAAGAGCGAACGGCGATTTCCGCGATTGCCGGGGTGTAGTTGGCGGTTTGCATCTTGCCCAGCATCCGGACAACTCGTATGAGGTTACGATTGCGAAACAGAAAACACGTCTGGCTAAGAGAGAGAAGAAGAAGGCCAAGTTTGTTAATCCCGGGAAGCAGATGTGGGATCAGTGGAGCCCTATTTTCGTGTCGCCAGATTCAGTTGAAATCGGACCTGGGATCCCGAATGTGGATTGCGAAGTCGACCAGCCATGGATCGATTCCAGTGATGGCCAGGGGTCGCGTCCGTGTTTGATGATTTCGAGGTGTGATGTTATTGCTTCTACGATTTCGTTGTTGTTTTTGTGGGACTGGCCGTTGGTGGCTTTGAATCTCTGCCGCTAGGCGGTGTGTATTCGAAAACTTTTCAATGAAAAAGTATTTTCTAAGTATGAAATCTGTGTTTCGTTTTAGATGTAGAGGGAAGAATACGAGTTGTCGTCTCGCATCTAACTCTTGGTGTAAATCGTCCGGTTCGTTAACTCAGCATGTTTTGGTTTTCGCCAGTGTTTAGATGTGGGCGAAGAGACATGCCTTTAGGATCTCGATTCATGCCTTGAGACGTTAGAGACCAGTGTGCTGGGTTTAGGGAAAGACCTAGGTTTAATTTCGGATTGAGGCTATGCGATGACTAGTCGGCTTTCGGTTTGCCTGTTGCGATTTGAACCTGATTCCATACCAATTTAGAATCCACGATAGGTTCTCGGCTTATATGATTCGTATGGTTGGAATCGAGTATCTCACCGGGAACAATTTCTAAGTTGCCCGGAAGTGCTGACCAAAAATTTGGATTTGTTTTATAGCGCGCTATTTTATCCTAGTTGGATGTATGCAGACCAGTGGGTCGGTGCATTAGTTTAGGACGGCTAGCGTGCTCGACGAGGCCAATCGCCGAGCGTTTGTGTTTTTATAGTCGCGGACGGACTTAGTAAAATATTTTTCTCGAGAATTTAGGCGATGTCTCGCCGATCTTCTCTAAGAGTATTTGGTGTACAAGTTTTTGTTGAGATGATTAAGTAATTGTTACTGCGGAAATATTTTCCGGATGTTTAGACTTTGTTTTTGCGTTTTGGATAGTAGCGGAAATTTTATAATGTTCTAACTTTGCCTTTATTAAAAAGGTTTCGAAAATTTTACGATT